AGCTGAAGAGAGGTAGACTCCAGGCTCCATCCTAGCGTTAATCCTTTAGACACTAGTATGGTACTTGGGTAGGCAGAACTGATAGAGAGAGAGACATTATAAGAGTTCTTGGATCCTCACTTGGAAGAAACAGTCCAACCCTGCTTCCTTTCCTCCCCTTCTCCTCTGCCATCATGTTGTAGGTTGTGAGAGAGGATGTGCATATAGGAAGAATAGGTGGTGCATAATTCAGGTTCTCAGGAGGTTCTGGGAAGGCAGTTCCTCTGTCAGCAGCTATTACAGAAACAGCTGGCAAATCAACAGCAATACAGGCGGCTATGTGAGATGCACCAAATTATCCTGTTTCACAAAAGGCTGAAAAAACCTGAATCAACAAAAGATGCCTTTTCTGCACAAGTCTTCCACTGAAAGAGATTTCCAATGGGCACATCTGCATGAGATGCTTAATGCCCATTAGACTAATTCTAGTGCGCATTAGTGCAGCTGGCAAAAACCATGCTAATGTGCAGTAGATTAGTTCAAAGGGCATTAAGTATCACACAAAAACCATTCATCTGTGCTAATTCACAGTAGATTTAGTCCAACAGGCATTAAGTACCACCTAAAAAGTGTTCATCTGTGCTAATGTGCAGTAGCACCGATTATAGTGCATTAAGTTTAGTACCTGCTATTAAAGGTACTAAACTTAATGCACCATAATTACAGTGCATTCATGAACATGTAAGTGTGCCCAATCACTGTTACCACTATTATCCTGAGGATTCTTCAGGATGCCCTGTACACTTAACAGATTCATTTATATAGAAAAGATGTATGCACACTAGTGGACGTATATGTCTTTGTTTGTGTGTATGCATGCATACAGGGAAAACGAACCTTTATCCCAACCTCCCCAGTCTCCTGTTGGAAAAGTGGATCTCATTTAATTTGATACCTTCAAGCCTAACAATTACATTGTATTTTTGATGGCTCCTTCTATGACAGTACAGGCTATAAGAGGATGCTCATTTGCGCTCCAAGTGTCATCAGCCCTGGTTTTAGCCAATTATAAAATTACTTTTAGCTGAATCTTTCATTAGTACATAGGACTGGAAAGGGTCTCCTGTGCCACTGAGTCCAGTTCCTTGTGTTTTCAGGCAACCATTTATCTAAAGAGTCTTAAAAATCATCCATTCCATGCCCTCTCCTGAGCTTGACCAGGAGTTTGCCCAGGAACTGGCTGAGGCAGCTTGCTCCAGGACCATAGTTGTCATGGGTGAATTCAATTACCCAGACATCTCATGGGAGGATCGCTCAGCAAAATCTGAGCGGTCGCAGAGCTTCCTCTCGTGCGTGGATGACCTCTACCTGACTCAAGAAGTCTATGGGCCAACGAGAGGCAAAGCGCTGCT